GCAGATGGATTTTAACAAGATTTGCAATAATAATCATGAACAATTCCAATCTCAATCAACATAATAGCAATATTAATTATCATTTTCGCAAGTTTTAAGATCAATATCAAAATTTAGCAGTCACATGTTCAGTACTCTCAACTCACAGGTATAATTTAAGCAGTGAATATAAGATAATAGTTTAGAGGTGATATACTCGTGCAATTAGCTAAATAAATTGAAATTAACAGAAAAGTTCTGAGTTGAGTGAATGAAACCTCAGTGCATTATTATTCGGAATGTTGAGAAAATCCAAAGGCCCACTCGCTGCTAAAGTGCAGCCCAAAGCCCAACTTATCAACAAACCCACACACTTCACAGATATGTTTGAATCTCTTCTCTGTGTTGTCTTTGTTCAGAGGAAAGAAGAGGGCGACGGAGGTGGCAACGAACTGGGCAGCCACGCGAGCAACGATGCCAGGATGTTCGGGCTCGGGAATGGAGGATGACGAGAGGGACAGGGTGGCCTGACGGATCACAGCTGGTGGGCAGATGTCTGGATGACGTAGGCAATGGCGTCGGGATGCTCGGAGGTGAAGAGAAGTAGCGATCTCAGGGGAGATTCGGGGTCTCAGGGACTGCTCGGGGGTCGGAGGTGGAAGGGGAATTGGGGCTGTTAGCGGTCGATGAAGGGCAGGGAGGAGCTCCAATCAAAGTTGGCAATCAGGCCATAGAGTTGATGGATCATGAACCAATGTACCGATGACCTTTCCCTTGACCTTGCGGCGGCGAAGTTGTAACACGCTGCTTTTTGTGCGAGCCTAGCAAGCCTTTTTAGTGTCATCATACGTTCTCGGGGTACTCTTCTCTCTGTTGGGCTAAAGTTACCTATTTTTACTGTTTGAGCATCCTTGAATTCTTAAGTGAGCATCGGAAGAGCTATCTGGATCTCACCTAGATGATTGACTTGACTCCCTAATCGAAGGATAGACTCTGGAGTGCAATGCACTACCACAAATGAGATGCCCAGGCACTACAAGCTAAATGAGACTGAATGAGATTTTTTTAAAAATATCAAATAAAAAGGCTCAACTGATCTAAAATTAAAAAAATAATAAAAAAATTCTTTACACACTAGGAACCATTGCTTTGATACCAACCCGTATGGCGGGAGCCGAGGCGCTTAGGAGGCGGAGTGGGTTCTGCTGGCTGTGGACAGGGGGAAGCAGAGGTTGAAGAAGAGATGGGAGTTTGGGCTGTTTGTCGGCTGTTATGGAAAAGGGGAGAGCTGCTATGGAAAAGGGGAAAGAGAGAGGAACGACCTAGGGTTTCACACGAGACCTAGGTTTCACACCAATAGTCAATTAATAAAATTCCATTATTCTTCATTCAATTATTCCATGATTTCAATTTGATTACAATTATGCTTAAATAGAGAAAATAAAATCTCACAAAATAAAATCTCACACAATCAAATCTCTCACAATTAATAACTACCAAATCTAACCTAATTTGAAATTCAAGATTTGAATTCAAACTATTAAAACTAAAAATTAAAAAAAAAACAAATAACATATTTGGAAACTGTATTCTTGTCCTCATCATTCTCCCCGGGTAGGAGAAAACTCGACTCCGTCGAGTTAGTTGCAGAAATTTGTCATCTTCAATATAAACTGCCTGCATCTTAATTCGCCATCAGTTACTTTTCTGCATCTTAAATCATTAGCTAAATTGCATTATAAATTCATCATCTAAAATATTATCAAAATTCACTACTACATGGGTGAGTATATATAGAAGTGGGGGTAAAGTGAAAGAACTCTCATAAATAATGGGCTAGAATCAGGTTTATATTAGTGGACTACCAATAACATTATGACTATTTAATCAATCAATATTGAGAATAGAACTATGACCAAATCGATAATATAAAGGTTGCTATTAATTAGTTCAAGAGTTGGAAAAGCTTATAAATATCATGTCAAATCTTAAACAGCTACAAAGAACTGTATTGGACAAGCTCAAACCACCTAAAATATCAGCATTAATAGTTTTAAATTAGGTCCTAACTCCATATCATTCATTTCAATTAACAATGTATTTATTCAAATTAGATCATTGATTCCCTAATATATGACCAATGCAAAATAAAAATGATGTAAATCAACTCAAATGATTATGATGAAATGCAGACTCGAACAATGTGATCAATGACAGACGTAAACTCAACGAAGTGTCTAAATGCATGACGTCCTCTATCAAATGGAATAATTAGGTATTCCTTCGTTGATGTGCATAACAAATTTCTTGTCCTAATAGTGATAGTGAGGAACATGCAAACACATGTATGACGGAGGAGTGTTTTTACGTGTTTAACATGAGAGAGAATGAAAATACTCGTGCTCAAACTTATATCCCTAATCACTATATATTCCCAAAAAAGGATCAGTGTATGTGTGAGTGACTATCAGGACAATGCATAGGGGTTTGACATCTGATATGGTAGGTATTTCAAGATGCTCAATTTGGGATTCAACTTCCATACAGATATCTGAGTGTCTCACTTTAGGAACCGAATCAGGAACGTGTTCGGTGTCATGTTGGTCCAAGTGGACTTCATGGTGAATATCAACAACGTTTTCAGTCAATGAAGTGAATTCAGGAGGAGTTGAAGTTTCAATTTTAGGAACAGCTTCAGGGACAACATCAGTGAACTCCGTGATCAAAGGGATAGCTTGGGGAATAATCGGAGTGTTGCCATTGCATGAAACTTTAGTTAACTCCACAATTGCAGGGGTAGTTTCAGAAGAAATGGAAGTGCATAGTTATTCTTCGATTATACTATCCTGGATGTTCTTGTCAGAGTTAGATTCTATCAAATCTACGGCCTGGTTAACGCTTTCCTCAATAATAGATTTTGATTCCGTTATAGGCGGCTTATTGATTCTAACTCTGAACGGAGTTGTACAGACGGAAGCAACGTGCCCATATCATTGACAATTATAATACTGCATTATTAGGCTAAGTTTGGAGAGAGATCTCTCTGACTTCTTGCCCTTGGGATCGACTCTAGACTGGGAAGAACTAGGGATAGATTGACTCAGAGGCTGACTAAGGGTATTGGTACGGGAAAACTGTGAGGAATGAATTTGAAAATCCTAAGCCCTATGAGATTGGTGGAATTTGGCTTCATCTAAATCTTGAACTAATACGTAAGCTCTCTCAAGGGTGTTTACTCCTCTAGCAAAGAGTTCAGTTTGGAGGTCACTTCTCAATCCAGCTCTAAACTTTAACAAGACTTTCATCTGTGCCTCTTGCTCTATGGTGCTGCATCGAGTAAACAATTCGTCAAATTAAGTAACGTACTCTTTTGCGGATTTGTTTCCCTGAGTAAGACAATACCACTTGTCTAGCAATTTATGATAAAACGATGGCGGAAGGTATTTCCTTTTAAGCTCGTCGACCATTTCTCGCCAAGTTAAAATTGGTAATTCATCTCTAATGTGTCTTAACGTTTCGAGGTAGGACCAATATTGGCAGGTGGATCCAGTGAGTTTCATAGCTGCGAACTTGACTTTTCGCGGTTTCGTCAGGGCGCACCAATTGAAGTATTGATCTATGCCCTTCAGCTAGTCTAAGAAAGCTTCTGGGTTGAACTTACCATCAAAAGTTGGCAAATCAGGCATAGGTTGAGGTCGATGAACAATGTACCCATGACCTTTCCCTTGACCTTGCGGCGGCGAAGTTGTAACACGCGCTTTTGCGAGCCTAGCAAGCCTTTCATTAGTGTCATTCATCGTCTCGTGGGTAACTCTGCTCTCTTGGGCTAAGTTACCTATTTTTCTGTTTAGCTCCTTGAATTTCTTAAGGAGCTCGGAAGACATACTGGACTCACTAGATGATTGACTTGACTCCCTTAATCGATAGGATAGACTCGTGCGAGTGGCATGCACTACCAACTAAATGAGATGGGAGGCACTAACAACTAAATGAGATGAATGAGATTTTTTTAAAATATCAAATAAAAGGCTCAACTGATCTAAAAAATTAAAAAATAATAAAAAAATTCTTACCCTAGAACCATGCTCTGATACCAAAATGATGCGAAACGGGGTAGGGGTCCTATCAGAATCAGCGATTTAATTTGAACAATGCATCATTTCATAAAAACATTATGATCTTCGGTAGGAAATTAACTCAAAACAACTAACGTGACAGATAGATTTTAATAAGATTTGTAATAATAATCATGAACAATTCCAATCAATCAATATAATAGCAATATTAATTATCATTTTCGTAATTTCTAAGATCAATATCAAAATTTAGCAATCACATGTTCAGTACTCTCAACTAACAGGTATAATTTACGCAGTGAATATAAGATAATAGTTTAGAGGTGATATACTCATGTAATTAGCTAAATAAATTAAAATTAACAGAAAAGTTCTGAGTTGAGTGAACAAAACCTCAGTGGATTATTATTCGGAATGTTGAGAAAATCCAAAGGCCCATTCACTGCTAAAGTGAAGCCCAAAGCCCAACTTATCAACAAACCCACATACTTCACAAATATGTTTGAATCTCTTATCTGTGTTGTCTTCATTCAGAGGAAAGAAGAGGGTGACGGAGGTGGCGGCGAACTGGGCAGCCACACGAGCAATGATGCCAGGAAGTTTGGGCTCGGGACTGGAGGATGAAGAGAGGGATAAGGTGGCCTGATGGATCACGGATGGTGGGTAGATGTCTGGATGACGTAGGCAATGGCGTTGGGATGCTCGAAGGTGAAGAGAAGCAGCAATCTCATGGGAGATTCGGGGTCTCAGGTGCTGCTCGGGGGGTCGGAGGTGGAAGAGGAATTAGGGCTGTTAGCGGTTGATGAAGGGCAGAAAGGAGCTAGGGTCGACGATGGCTGGGCGCGGCTGATTTGGGTGGTGGGAGCTGGTGGTTACAGTCGAGGAGATATGATGGGGAGATGGCGGTGGTAGAGGGAGAGAGGGGAGGGTTGCTGCTGTAAATGGATGACAACAGGGAAGGAGATGGGGAAGGACGCCGTGGCGGAGGTGGGTGGCGTGGGAACCGAGGTGTTTGGGAGGCGGAGTGGGTTCTGCGGGCTGTGGACAGGGGGGAAGCATAGGTTGAAGAAGAGATGGGAGTTTGGGCTGCTTGTCGGCTGCTATGGAAAAGGGAAAAGAGAGAGGAACGGCCGAGGGTTTCACACGCGAGTCCTAGGTTTCACACCAATAAGCAATTAACAAAATTTTATTATTCTTCATTCAATTATTCCATGATTTCTGTAGGCTGTCTAAAAATCACTACAGATAGCTTATCCTCATCAAACACTAATGATGGAAGTTACAATCTGACGATTTCCAGAAGGCTACAATTTGAAGACTTTTACGTAGAATGTTACAATCTGACGATCTTCACAACAACTAATGAAAGCTCTAATTCAACAGCCTTCACAATCAACATTGGGAGTTACAATCTGATGACTCTCATATTTTCAAGGAGCCAAGACGAAGGTTACAAGGTAATAATCTTTACAACGCTCTAGCAAAAGAGACTACAAATTGACAGTCTCTTCATACCAAAACACGGATATCTCTCAAATCGTAAGGAATTTGTCAAAACTGGCGGAGCAAATTGAACTCTATGGGGTTAGTTTGGTCGGCTCCGTCTCATCGAGATAGCCGATTTTTATATATAACTCGTCCGATTCTGACTTACGGTTTGAAAGTTATGACCTGTTCTTCGCAGCAAGTTATGTTCTGAAGTCCATCTGCAAGACTGGACTTCGTCTGAATATTGGACTTAGCCTGAAGCTCACCAAGCCCGCCTAAGGCTCACCTCTGCATTACAGAGTCAAAACACAGAGTTTGTGGATTTAAAACGCAGAGTTTGTGGACTTAAAACGCAGAGTTCAACTCTGCGTCCCAGGTCCAAAAACGCAGAGTTCATGCAGAGCCCAACTCTTCGTCCTAATTCCAAAAACGTAGAGTTCATGCGGAGCCCAACTCTACGTCCCAGGTCCAAAAACGTACAGTTCATGTGGAGCATAACACTGCGTCCCAGGTCTAAAAAAATGCACAATTCATGCGGAGCCCAACTCTGCGTCCCAGGTCCAAAAACACACAGTTCATACGGAGCCCAACTCTGTGTCCCAGATCCAAAAACGCACAGTTCATGCGGAGCCCAACTCTGCGTCCAAGGTCAAAAAACGCACAGTTCATACAGAACCCAACTCTGCATCCCAGGTCCAAAATACAGAGTTCATCTCTGCGCAGCGCGACTTGTGCGTTTTCAGCTTAAAACAGGCCCAACTCTGTGTTTCAGGTCTAAAACGCAGAGTTCAGGCCCAAAATGCTCTTTTCAGCGTTTGACTCGTTCAAGCACGATTTGAACGGTTCCAGAACCGTTTTCTCCCCACTATTTGAGGGGATCACTACCCTATCATGGAGAGATTTATGGGGGACAGTTACACCCTATTAAACCCTCATTAAGGAGAGATTTAAGGGGGCGGTTACACCGCTAAATCCCTTATAAATAGTGGGAAACTCAATAGAGTTGGGGTTGGCTTTTTGGATCGTAGGCTTGGCAGCGAAGAGGAGATCTTCGGCTTGGCTGCGAGGGGAAGATCGACCTTCATCCATCTTCAACTTTAGCAACAAGAAGATTTGGAGATCAAAACCGCATAAGGTTAGATTCTTGGGAGGTTGGAGATTTTGGCCTGATTTCAAAGATCGAATCATCTACGAAATCAAGCACCAGATACTCCACTTGGTAGCTAGGAAATCAAATATCGAAGGATTCTTCAGCAACAAACAAATCCACTTGGCTACTAACCGATTATTCGGTTTTCAACAACTCTTTTAAGAGTTTTCAACTCATTCTGAGTTCTTAAACTCGTTAAGAGTTATAAATCAAACTTGTCACACAAGTTAATTGTTCTCGTGAGATAGGGCAGTCGGATCGTCAACGGAGAGCAAATTCGGCGCAGGCATTCGAAGGAGGTATTCCATCGCTACCTTGAAGAATCCAGTTTTAAACAAATGGGAGAATCAAATTCATTCTCCTCTCTTTTGTAATCGGAATCCAATTATAATTGATCTTGAGAGAATTTAAATCAAAATTTTCTTTTATTTCTTTTACACCAAATTATCCACCAAACAAAAGATGGCGACTCCGCTGGGGACTAGCTTCTCTGATGAAGAAGTGGTGGCGCAATCCGACGTCAAGCTCGCTGGAACAACGGTCGAAACTCTCGTGGTGGAGTTTGATCAAGCCAAGTTTGAGAATGCCCTCTCCTCCGGATCCCTTAGCCCCAAGGCTATGCGCAAGATCCATAAAGTTTCTAAGGAGACTAAAGCTCCAGTTGTGGCCGACTCATCTAAAGACTATCTCCCCTGGGGGTTGCACTGTTCATACAATCCCCTCTCTAAAGCAGAAGACTTAGCTTCGGCACAATTCTAAAAAATCCGACCCTCCAATCAATGCGAGCTCCGCGTTTGTGAGCCTCAACACGAGGTCTACATAAGCCAAGATAAACACAGCCCTCAGGGGTGCGTTTTCCAAATAAAACGCAACCCTCAGAGGCGCGTTCCAACATCAAAACGCAGACCTCAAAACTGCGTTAATTTGGCAGAACACAACTATCAGGCGTGCATCCTAAAACCAAAATGCAACTCTTAGGAGTACGTTCAAGATCCAAAATGCAGACTTATGAACTGTGTTAACCGACAAAAACGTAACCGGCAAAGGTGCGTTTCATCAAGAAAACGTAGACTTTGGTCTAGCGTTAGTAAAACAGAACACGACCCGCGTGTTTCTTCTTCAGAACACGATGCGATTCGTCGTGTCCAAAAAGATTAACGTGGATTCAAGATCCATGTTCACCAGGAGCCAGTCCTGTCCAATTATAGACTGGGGGTTCCAATTTAAACCTCACGATCAGTGAGTAATTCTCGAGTCTTTACAACAGACTTGAGAGAGTTCATATCGAGAGAAAGACCGATGCAACAAGTCATTCGTTCATTCCAATATGAACGACTGATTCCTACGGTCCTCTCGGGATGTCAATGCTGCTCATATGCGGCCAAACTATTGGTGTTTGAGCAATTTACGAACGTTGCTTTGCCCAACCAACGACGACGTTCTCACAGGAAGAAGTCTCCAGAGACCGAATATCTTGGGGTCACTATCAATGTGATCGGTAGAGGGAAAGCCTAGGGTCCTAGTTCCGATGATTCTGAGACAAGTCGTTCATCGACCGTCAGAGAAATCGCTAACGAGTTTGAAGGAGTCTACCAACGCACTCGGACGCGAACAGGAGTCATTCCTTCTGTCAACTATCGGAGGTTAGCCAAAGGAACCAATTCCGATGATGAACACTCAGCCATTGCAGAGTCCCAATCATCAAGCTCTTTTGTTGAACATGAGAGCTCCGCTTATATGACGGGAAACCATGAAGATCTTGCGAAGAGACTTGATGAGCAGGAGGCCATGCTCAAATCTCAGTAGGAGGCCATCAATGAACTCATGGCCCTGTTGACTCAAATCGTCGCAGACAAGGCCAAATCTCAGGAGATAGATTCGCCACCTAGGCAAGAATCTTCCCGGAGAGGAAAAGCATCTTCATCCTGACTTCACACAAGCAAAGGGAAGGAAAAATTGGTTGATGGTGTTGCTTCTGATCAAGAAGCCACAACCTGGAATCTTCCTCTGATGAAGCAAAAGAGACTGAGAACGAGTAGAATCTCCAATCTGCCAAAATAGAAGAATTGGAAGCCCGCCTCAATGCCATTGCTAAAAGAAGCGAGCTCCAAGACGAGGGAGTTGTCAAGCCCTATCCTGCCGAATAGGATGCAGCCACTTATCCTCCAAAGTTTGAAGTCCCGACGCTATAAACTTTTGATGGCACGGGATCACCGAACCAACATATCTATCATTTCAAGTCACAGACTGGGAATATGATATAAAACGATGCCATACTGGCTCGATTGTTCATTGACACCCTCAAGGGAGTTGCCTTTGAATGGTTCAGGAAACTTCTTGTGGGATATATCCAAAAGTGGGCGGACCTAGAGAGACTCTTCCTGTCGAGATTCTTTGAACAGGATACAGAAGTCTCCATCCATACCCTTCTCGGCACTAAGCAGAAGAAGAGGGAGTCCGTCAAAGCCTTCGTCAAAAGGTTTCAAAACATGGCTTTGTGATGTCCGACAGGTATGACACAGTCTACACTGGTAGAGACCTATCGACACAACTTGCAGACCGACCTTCTAGCACAAATGAGGGTTGCAGAATGTTGTTACTGGAGACAACTAATCTCTCAAGGCGAACAGGCTCAAAAGCTTATCGTTAGGAACAAAGTTGAAGAATAAAGTAGGCAGGATCAACCTGAGCAATCGGACCAAGCCCGATCTTCTCAGTCAGATGGGGAAGATGCTACAGTCACTAAAGCCAATCCTCTTCAGTAGGATGGCGGGTCCAACAACTATCATGTTAATAATTACCTCTGATAGTCAAACTCATTAGATAGCAGCCCACTAGGTGATGTGCCATGTCTATCCTTTCCCCCCTGTATTTGTTTAAGGCTGGGGGTTGGTTTATTTATAGTTCATTAAATTATGAATAATAAATTTTTTGAGTTGTCATGTTCAATAGAATACCTCTATCAACCACGAAGTCTACCAAAACTATAACGTTAATGATCACCTCTGATAGTCTGTTTTCCTCCAAATTCCCCTAATAATCCTCTTCAAGCAGGATGGCGGGTCCATAAAACTATCACGTTAACGATTACCTCTGATAGTCCATTAACTTGCCAATCTTCTTCAATAGAATGGCATGTCCATAAAACTATCACATTAACGATTACCTCTGATAGTCCATCAACTTGCCAATCTTCTTCGATAGGATGGCATGTCCACAAAACTATCACATTAACAATTACCTCTGATAGTCCATCAACTTACCAATCTTCTTTAATAGGATGACAGGTCCATAAAACTATCACGTTAACGATTACCTCTGATAGTCCATCAACTTGCCAATCTTCTTCGATAGGATGGCAGGTCCACAAAATTATCACGTTAACAATTACCTCTGATAGTCCATCAACTTGCCAATCTTCTTCAATAGGATGACAGGTCCACAAAACTATCATGTTAACAATTACCTCTGATAGTCAAACTCATCAGATAATGGCCTACCAAGTGATGTG